CAGTTTTTGGTACTTCAACACAGGAAGTTTCCCCTTGGTTGTCATAACTACCAAAAATTAGTTTGTGACAGTATTATGCTTTGTTTCTTAAATGACTGGGCTCTTTCGTGTCTGGGTAACCAGTATAGCTTTGGTTTGTTAGGTGAAATGTTCCAAACGTTCTCATGTTGCAAACTATCGTTTAAAACTTCTTTTGGCTGCTCCCTTATTCACGAGGGGATCCCACAGCAGATGGACCCACATATTTGATTTGGCAGATTTTTACCGAAACAACCCTCCCAGGCATTTTTGTCTCCTCCAAGACTTGAACCCGAGATCTCTCATGTGTTAGATGAATGTGTAAACCACTACATTGTAAATTGTAGTTTGCGAAAATTCCTCCAACTTCCCCACTTTACTGCTGTAAATCTGCATTCAACCACTGATTTGCAAGTCAGTTGCGTAGTAGAAGCTTAGCCTGATGTTCAAAGTGACATCCTCATCCCGGCTGTAAAGAAACTGAGCTGAACTTTCCCGAATGCTGCAAATTGAAACACAACAGCTCGTTGAGCACGGAGAGCAGCAGCAGGAATTATTTTATCTGTGATGTGAAGAGACCCACAGGTGTGAATGAAGAATTTATCTGTGACCAGCAGTCTGCTATGACTGGTCAAGTGTAAGCTGAACCTGTGTTTAATATCCTCTGTCACACACAGGTGGTGCTGGGCTGCGGAGATGAGGCAGATTTATTTTCCTGTGCAGTTATGAACGATCGCCGGGCTCTGGCCTGTCTCTGACTCAGACTCTGCAGAGAGCCGACAGAAAATAAAGGAGTTTTTCTTTCATTACTTCTCAACTGAGTTCACCTGGTGTCTTTGTTTACACAGCAAAACAGTCAGGAGAGAAATCTCCTACGGTTCATGCAGAGCCACAACACCCAGTCTGACAGGAAGATTATATTTCGTCAGGTCTCTTCTCATTCTTCATCGCAGCAGAGAAGAAGACCGTTTACGCAAAACCACATGCTGAGATCAACGACAAGCCTGATCCTAAACCTTATCACAGAAAATTTCCCATCTGTCCGGGTTGGAGCACGAGTTTGACATCACTGAACTAAAGTCCACTTCATTCCCTCCGACAACAGCGATACGACAAACAACAGAGACGTGGTCAAAGATCAAAGCTCGCTCAGCCAAGAACACTGTGATCACCCAGTAATGATGACAAAAGGTCAGACAGACATCTATAAATGTCTAAATACAGACATAGACATACTGTCTTAGGATGAAAAAGTAAATAAAGTTTCGGGCCTTTCACCCTACACAACCTCAGGCTCTAAATTAGCAGGTAGGACAGCAACAAGTTTTAGAAAACTATCGACTTTCAGCATCTGCAACAACACTTAAAGCTTCAAACACAAATTCAAAAAAATTTGAATTCAAAGGCTACAAAATCATCTAAAAACGAAGACATTTTTCACAAAAATCTAATGACGCATAATTCATAAGTAGGTGGAGTTTCCCTGACATGAGACATAAACAGTTGTACCATCACAAACTGTCTTGAATAGTGTGCCGACTTGCTGTTGGTGGGTTTTATAACCTAAATCAACTTAAGGTCGGTTAGTGGAGAAAAACCACTTGATGCAGTGGACCTTCTACAGGAACGGATGCTAACGCAGCAAATGATTCACTTAAAAGCACAATATAGACTTTAACCAACACCTGAGCTAGAATATTTCATTACTTTGCAGAGCGCATTCACATGAAATTCATAAAATCTTTCGTCATGTATAGAAGAATCTGAGAGTCTCTCTTTTTTAATACACGTTTAGGGAATAAAGCCGCTGGAAACTGGACAAAAATCCTCACGCCTGATCGAGACAACAGTCTCGACACTTTGCTATCCCTGCAAAACTATGAACTTCTGCTTTAAATGCAACCAAACAAACACAAGGAATAAAGTATATTTTATATATAAAGGATATCTATGCAAACACTCATCCTACGCTAAGACGGCCTGCCTTTGACCTCTAAAGTTCTCTTTTATATTCACTGGTGAACACCTCAGACAGTTTAAAGAAATCCTGCATTAAATCGGAACTCATTCATGGAAAAGCTTGAATGTTGTCCCTGATTTCTGACTATACTGTACGTCCAGACAGCGGCCCACCTCTCCAGTTTCAAGGGTCAAGTGTACCTGAAGCCAGGGTCTAAATCCATTTCCAGTGAGAATGATTTAACCCCCAAAATGATTCCCCAGTAGTTACAACACTGAGCAGTGCTTTTTAAGGCGCTGCTGCAGGAAAGATTTCTAGTTTCTTTAGCTTTTCACCCCCAACTATAAGATCCGTATAAGAATAAAGAAAACTACAGAAGAAGAACAAACAAACATAATCATAAATAAATAAATGAGATTCCATTTTGCTAGCGCATGGTTTTTGTAGAATATTATATTTATCTAATTGAGTAAAGGCTTTAATGTTTCTTTACTTTCTTCACTTCGCATCCTTTCCTCATCACTGACTTGCTCTCCTGTTCCTTTGTCACCTGCTCATTTCCTCATTGAATTCGCCTGTCACACCTTATTTGAGGGCAGCACTCACTTATTTCACCTTCACACCATCGACGGTTCCAATTTAGCAGTCAGTGTGCATCTTTCTCACATTTCTCATCGTGGCTGAAATTAACTTTAAGTCAGATAATAAACCTTTGTTCACTGGATAATAATCTAATAGCTTATTAATTAAGTGCATTCTGATCGGATGCTCATGACGGCAACAAAACCTTCTTATGAACTTCCTAATTAACAACCTGCCTTTGTACCCTGGACTGGGGGTATTTATTTGCACCCTCAGGGTTGGTTCCCTACAGAGGCCGGTGTTGAACCTCTGGTAAGAACTCTGCACGTTAATGTGACGGCACAGAAACGGACCCTTTAAAAAAGGAAAAATTGGGCTCAGGGGCTTTTACAGGTTTATTTTTTATTATTCATTCGTACATGTGGAAATGACATTTGTGAGGCACTTTTCTAGCCTTGCTCACCTCACAACTCTTTATCTTTTAAACATCTTTGGCCAATTTAGAATCACAAAGACCTCCAGAAGATTCAAAGTCCAGGACCTTCTTGTGTGCAAACCTCTGCTGCTGATATGCAAGACGAAAAAGAAGGAAGCTTGTAATATATATTGATTTTAATGAAACAATAAAGTTAATATTTTATATCATAATATTTATTTTTTCTATTTTTACCAAACAGCTGCACGAATATTATTGCTTGAGAACTTCTATGTGCATTTTGAGGACCTTAAGAAGAAACACATGGTTACTTTGGGGCCCAGTAATTGGTCCTTGGGGAAACATAAACATGTACTGTACCTGTCGGGAATGCACTGATTGTGTTAGCGCCTTTAACAGCAATTTTATTCACCCAGTTTTTTTGGAAAACTTTCAGCTGCACACCGGTTCTTTGTTATTTGTAGTTTGTAGCAGATGATAATCACAGGAGGTTTTATACCAATGAAAACTGGGTTTGCTGTCCAGATTTGATGTGTCAGCAGGCTATTTTGCTTTATCTTCCTGTGGATTTGACCCTTGTGTGGAAATGCACTGAAGGAACCTTAATTCTGGGAAAGTTCCTGAAACTTTAGGTGAAGAAAAAAAGAGTTAATATCTGAGTAAAGACACGAGTCATAAATGTTAAAGATGCCCTGATTTTGCTTCAGAGCTTCCAATCCCCCCAAAATTTCCCCCTGCAGGGAAATCAGGTGGTTCTTATTCAAGAGTTTCAGTGATGTAATTTCCCACGGCTGTACTAACCCTTTTTTAAAATTAAGCAACTTTAATTTGCGCACTGGGTTCGACATAAATATGTACAATAAGCTCAGCATAGGCGCCTGCACAGCTAGCAGACTGAAGATAAGCCAGGGCAGATTTTCCTATATAATCCACTGATGGTTGGGTTGGATGATGAAGTCTAAAAGTAATCCAGATTTCATGTGAAGCTGTCGCATAATCTAAATTAGTCAATTTTAGCATGTATTTTATGTTATTGTATGACGTTTTTTGCATTCTTGCCTGCTGTTAAAAGTTAACAACGAAAATGCAGCATTAAGTTACTTTAAGTGTTAAAAATGTAACTACTTTTTATTTTTACTGTAGAAGTCAATAATCTCTTATGGATTTAAGCAATTTACCTTAATTTTATGGAGATTCTTCCCATGCAGGGAAAAGCAGATTGTTCAAACATGTCAAATTGAAAATAGAGATGTTAAAGGTTCCAAAAGGTCAACGCAGACTTCACTTCAGCTCTGCATAAATCATTACAGGAAAATTACTTGGTAACCCAGTAGGAATAAACAGCATTACATACAGTGGTCTCAGCCCAGATTATCATATCCTACAGAGGTATCCTATACACTCACCATACAGAACAATACAGGCTTCATGGCACCCAGTAGGAACATTACATAAATATTACAGGGATGTTACGGAGCCCCGGGTCTGCTCACTCACACCTCTAAGCAATAAAAGTGAAATCATAAACGAGCACGATAATGAGCATAAACATAATCAAAGAGGTGGCATAAGGTCACCACAGACTGAGCGGCTCAAACAGCTCACTGTGGCGCTGCGATGGGAATATCACAGGAATATTAAAGTCAGTACAACGCGTGACAAAAGGCACAGTGAGGCAAAGCGCCACGGCACCATAGAAACAACGCACAACATGACAAACATGTGCAAAATATCATGGGAACAACAGAAGCATGACTGACTCACTACAGGGAGATTACAGAGGTGCCACAGTCAGACAATGTTCCCGCGAAGGCGCGCGGAGAGCGGCACAGACACACTCCACAGCCTCGCGCTCTTACGGGAATAATAAGAGGACTGTCAACACAACTGAGCTGTGAAACAACGCGAGCGTGACACTATAGGAAAATTACAGCAGTGTGCTCAACGTAACCGGAGCCGCAGAAAGAGCGAGAATGAGAGAAACCTCAGAGAAGGAAAACATACTGAAATGGCGAAGATGGAGACTCCTCTATCTCTTCTTCCTCCTCTCCTCTTCCTCTCAGGTCTGAAAGTCTGCAGCCTTCTTCCCTCGCTCTCACTCTCTCTCTTTCTCTCTAAAGGTCTCTCTACCACTGTCTCTCTCTTTTGTCGCTGTGATATCTGGCCATGCCTTCACAGGAGGGGGAGGAGGGGGTGGAAGAGGAGGAGGGCGAGGAGGAGAAGGGGGGGCCAGACAGACAGAGAGGAGGGAGAAGAGGATGATGATGTTGATGAAGATGGTGGAGGGAGAATCAGACACTGCAGCAGAGAGCGAAGAAGAAGAAGACGGCGCCTTTACCTCTCTCTCTCTCTCTCTCTCTCTCTCACCTTCTTCCTGATCCTCTTTTCTTTATTTCTCGAGGACGCGCACGCAAGCCCAGCGACGCTCCCGATGGTGTGTGCACGCGCGCGTGCAGGCTCCAAGGATAGCGATGCATTCACCACCACCGCTCCACCTCCTCATCCCTCCTTCTCACTCGCTTTTTTTCTGAATTAATTTAAAGACTGTAGACTCTGAGAGCGTGTGTGTGTGTGCGTGTGTGTTGTTTTTGCACCCTGCAGACACACACACACACAGACAAAAGTCTCTCCATAGGCGTTGAAATGTGTCAGTGTGTAATTCCCTTTGTTCAGCTCTGTGTGAACAAAGAGGTTAGACTCTCTTCATTAGTAGTAGCTGGAGTAGGCCACTACTCACACTGCAGTTTTATTTTGAGAGTAAAATGTTCATTAACACAACTTTTGGGATGTCAGATTGTGAAAGTGTCCTTTTCTCCTTCTCCAGGTTTTATTTGGTACAGATGTGTTGCAGCTTTTCCAGAGGATTTGCACTCAGACTGTCCAGTGGAACTGCTTCCCTGGTGCATCAAAGAGGCAAAAAGACAAGCATGCTTGACAAGTGTCATTTTAGAGGATGGCTGCTAAAATAAATGACCTATAACTCATCTAAAGTAGATGCTGTGGGGTGGAGACTCTTTGTTTTGCCTCTACTTGCCTTGCAGTTGCAAGACTCTGTGGTTGTTGCCAGTGATGGGAATAATGGCGATACAAGTAACGGCGTTACTAACGGCATTACTTTTTTCAGTAACGAGTAATCTAACTAATTACTATTTCTATCGTTACAACGCCGTTACCGTTACTAAGAAGAAAATGCGGTGCAGTCGCGTTACTATTTTTCAACAAACAGACGGTTGAAGCTGTGTTCAGCTTACCTTATATCAGTTGCACGGCAGTAGCTGTAAGTAATCTGGGCGCTACAGCTTTAAGCAGCTGCGCGCGCTCCCGCGGACGGCAATCACTTTCTGCCCGACGATCACTTTTTGGCACAACACCTGGAGCTAAGGGGCAAAACAATCGCATGAGTGCTGCTGTTTGACTGAGAAAGCATAAAGTAGTCGTGGTAAGCCAATCACATGACCACATCAAGATGACAAAGCAACAAGGTGATATACACCAGTTTTTTAAATTGTGTTGATAGGCCACGTAAAACCAGAGTCATGATAAACAATATATAAGCCGCGTTTTTTCCTTAATAGTTTATTCATGTTTAACGTCTAAGGACAGCGCTAGCAAGCACGCCATGCTTATGACCAAAAAACCCAAAACAAAACAAAAAAACAGCCTTTTGGTCTTGGTGGGAAAATGCACCATGCCAACCAATCAAAAACTATATGGCAACATGACATTTGGTTGTTTAGGAAGAGGGGGAAGTTTTAGGAGTGACGGTGAGAGAGAGAGAGAAAGACAGCAGAAACACAGAGAGAGGGAGTTTTGAGATGTGAGAGATTTGTGACATTTAACGTGTTTGGAGTTTGGAGTTAATGTGTTGTCTTGTGTAGTTAGTGTGTAGTGTTGTGGATAGTTTTGTGTTGTGTGTCAGAACAATGAGGTGACTGCTGTCTCCAGGTAAAGAACAGGAGTGATACACCTGCTGCTGTCAGACCTGCAGGTATCAGGCTGTGATGTTCTCTTTTATAGTGGACAGAAATATTTGAAGTGGCACAAATAATTTGTGCGGCATCTTATTGACTGCAGAACAGCTGATTGTTATGTAAACAGTTTGAAATTATTATTTTAAAAAAGGGGTAAAAGGTAAATGGCTGCAAATAACTTTGTTGTTTGCAAAACTTCTGCATATGATTTTAAAACAATGACAATTTATATTTGCATTTAAAGTTATGAAATGTGATTCAATAAACATGTTTGTGGTTGTTACAGTACAAAATATAACTTTTTCTACTCTGATTTTGTTTGTTGTCTGATTTTAGATCAATTGTGTTAATACAGTATGTCAAAATGAAAACATAACTGTAAATTCAGACACGCAAGGTTGTGTTGAAAAGATTGATACCAAACAAGGCAAATTAAATAGTTTTTAAAGGTGAAATGTAGAGGAAACATCAAAAGTAGTGAAAAATATGCAATTATACCCTGGACCACAGAGGGTTGTTGTTTTTTTTAAAGTAACGCAATAGTTGCTTTTCAAGTAATTAATTACTTTTAGAATATTGTAACTCAGTTACTAACTCAGTTACTTTTTTGAAGAAGTAACTAGTAACTGTAATTAATTACTTTTTCAAAGTAACTTGCCCAACACTGGTTGTTGCATGTGCTTAATTCCTTAGTCGCCAATTATCCACACCTGACATGGCATGCTGGGTTGGCTTGGGAGGAGCACCTCTTTTTACAGCTGTTGCTCATCATGGTTCTCCTGAAGACGTCTAGTGATGTACATTTTTTTTAAGACTCTCTCTATATATACATTTATAATTGAGAAGAGTATAAATGCATTTATGTAAGCACCAAGTTGGGCAGGCTTGCATTAAAACTTGTATATGTGGTTTCTGGATATTCTACAGTGCAGGGGAATTATGCTTGCTGGAAAATAAGTGGGAAATAACAAGACACAAATTTGCTGACAGGGCGATTTAATATTTAACGTATTTTCTTCTGTATTTTGGCAACAGTTTGTAAAATATTCATGATTTTTATTTTATTAAAATGTGTTTCTGGACACAATTTTCATCAGATTGGTCTCATATGTCAAAAAAACCCCAAAAACAAACAAAGTGTCCATGTACACACTGATATGCACATTTTTCTTTTTTGAAAGGCAGTCAGGGCCACATTTGGAAGCTGAAGGGGGCATTTCACTGCCAGCACCAAAGTACCAGTTTGAATCCTACATGCATCCTCTACTTACCTGCATGATTTCAAATGCATTAAACCTCTTATCTTATAAAAATTACTGGACTCAACTAAAATAAATTACAACTCATTTTCATCCCATCTGGGAAGTAAAAGTAGAAACAAACGTACTGCAAACACAAAATTTACATCCTATGGAAACAGATTTCATTCTAACTCTAAATCTTTTGAATGCATCTGGGCTGATATGAAGGGTGGGGGTGGCTTGCGACAGCCTCTCTAAACTCTAGTTTTAAGGATATTTGGTTGAATCATTCACTACACTAAAAGTTCGGAAAATACATTCATGTTTGGTATGAACATTTAGCTTAATTGTTCATTTCTCCTTTCCTTAGTTGTTTCATAGGTTTGAATTTATAGATTAAACGTTTGGATTAGGATTAGGAATTAGCACTAGATGTTTCTGTAAAACTGCAATCTCTGTAAAAGGAACGAAAGGACATTATTTATTTATTATTGGTAAAATAATCAATGCTGCATTTGTGAAAACTAAAATCAGCTTTAGATGAACTACAGCCATCTTTGGAGCAATGCGCTTCCTGGGCAGTGGAATAACAGGAATTAGGAATAATCAGGTTTGGTAATGCTCACTGTGGCCAGTGTGAGTCACATGATGAACGATGGAAATTGTAATGCTGTTTGGGCACTGGGCTATGCTGAAATTGTTGCACAGCCCTGTGCTACCTTGTGGCAGAAGAGTGAAACAGTAGCAGAATATTGAAAACAGTAGCAGAATTAGAGCTTATAAACCTTAAATGCCCCCATTAGACTCCATTAGCTCAGAGCTGCATGGTAGAATTTGAACATGACTTTTTTATGAAGTTTAAGGTCTAAGGAGCTTGGAAAGAATGAAGTTTAAGACACCAAAAACATCTTGTTGATCTCTCCTTGAGCTGTCAGTCATTTCAGTTTGCTTTCCTCGCCTCCACAGACATCACGAGGAGGGAGAAGCTTGCTCAGTGCTAGACACTACTAGACACTTGGGCGATTTCCTGGAAGCAGTACCACACCAATCCACCTTTGTTCTTTAGTTTTAAATTCTCTCTTTAGTTTATCCTCATCTTTTCATTCCCCCACCCCTTTAAAGTTCCCTCCTTCCCTCCCATTTTTTAAACTTTCACTTCAATCCATCGCCACGCTGTCTTTGCCCCACCTTTCCCCTGATCCATCGCTTTGTCTTTTAACTGAATCATTGTATTTCTCTCCATCGCTGCGTGTCCTCCTGCACATCTCTGTTATCCCTTCTTCTCCCCTCTCTCGTCTCTCTGCTCTGACAGCAGACCAGAGTGAACTGAGGACAGAGATGGAGGGAGAGAGGCTGGAAGAGAGAGCTTGGTTTGAACAGGCTGACCTAGTTAGACTCTCCTTTCAATAAAACATTGAGCCTGAGAAAAGAAACACACAGGTCTCTCTCTCCCTCACTCTCTCTCTCTCTCCCCCTCTCTCTCTGCTTCCTCAGCTCTCTCTACCTTGACTTCTTTTGGAGAGTTCAGTTTTGGATTCAAGGTTTAGTTCTGGAAACTTGAGAAACAGTTCCTGCGATGCTTGTTAAAGATGTCAGTTTGACTAAATATGAAAACTTACAGTGGCCTTGAAATTTCCAAGAACTGCAATTTATGAGAGAACACAAAGTAAAAACAGTGGCAAACCAGAAAGAAAAACATCTTTTCACCTGTGTGGCATTTACTAAAAATCCTGCACAGAGGAGAAAATAAGAGAGCTGTTTCCAGGGGAAACTAGGGAGTGCCTGGACACGACTGGGATACGGCTGTTGTTACCATGGTTTGTGACTTATGAAGTTACTGGAGCCAACAGTTTATGTTGCTGCAGAGTTTCAGTGTTTGCAGGACTTGTTTTGTTGTATCGGTCAGTTATTACTGCAGAAATCTGCTATTTCCCAATTTTTTTACTTCTCGACCGGCTCTCCACGTATGGGCACTTACAGGCCAGCTGCCCTACATCATAACCTCCATG